AAATAATCACCTCACTTTGTAACCTTACTAAATACTATTTAATTTTTTTTAACAATAATTACCCATAATCATATGATTATATGTGTGTGTGTGTGTGTGTGTGTGTGTGTGTGTGTATTCAGGTCCTTCGAGATGGGAAGTGGATTGAAGAAGACTCGTCCATTCTTGTACCTGGTGATATAATCAGCATTAAGTTAGGGGACATTATTCCTGCAGATGCTCGTCTCCTTGAGGGTGATCCATTGAAAATTGACCAGGTGCTTTAATACTTATGCTGAGACGAATGATACGCATAATTTTCTCATAAGTATCATGAATTTCTTTTTCGTGATGAGTATCATTTTCCTTGTGTAATAATCTACATGTCTACACAAGTAATCTTTTTTTTTTCTTTGGCAGTCTGCCCTTACTGGTGAGTCCCTTCCAGTTACAAAGGGTCCCGGTGGTAGTGTTTATTCAGGTTCAACATGCAAACAAGGAGAGATTGAAGCAGTAGTTATTGCCACTGGTGTTCATACCTTCTTTGGCAAGGCAGCTCACCTCGTGGACTCCACCAACCAACAAGGTCACTTTCAAAAGGTAAAAATGGAACTCATACTGAATTTTGTATATTGGTAGAAACAATATTTTGCCACTTTCAATCCATAGTACTTTGTAATTTGTATTACCCTTTTTGTTTTGGCTGAACAGGTCTTGACTGCTATTGGGAATTTCTGCATTTGTTCCATTGCCGTGGGGATGATCATAGAGGTTATTGTCATGTACCCAATTCAACACCGGCCATACCGCCCCGGGATTGACAATCTGTTGGTTCTTCTCATTGGAGGAATCCCCATTGCTATGCCCACAGTTTTGTCTGTGACAATGGCGATCGGTTCCCATCGCTTGTCTCAGCAGGTTGGTTATGATGGAAATTGCCATGTTTTAGCCAAATTGTTGGTCTCAGTTTAATGAGTTTTAGAAGATATGTGTATCTTAAAATATAACTCTTGCAGGGAGCTATCACTAAAAGAATGACGGCCATAGAAGAAATGGCTGGAATGGATGTTCTTTGCAGTGACAAAACTGGAACTCTAACATTGAACAAACTTTCAGTTGATAAAAATCTTATAGAGGTTGGTTAGAAATATTTGTCTCTTGTCTCTTTCATATCCGTTTGCAAGTCCGATCGCTATTCCAACTCCTTTCCTTGGTTATTTGCCCAGGTCTTTGCGAAAAGAGTAGATGTGGATACCGTCGTTCTGATGGCAGCTCGAGCCTCCCGTTTGGAGAATCAAGATGCAATAGATGCTGCCATTGTGGGAATGTTGGCTGATCCAAAGGAGGTATGTACTTGCAATGATGAATGACTTTCTTTGATATTGTTGATTGTTTCCGTTATGTATTTAATCTTCTGGTTACAAAATAGGCGCGAGCCGGTATCCAAGAGGTGCATTTCCTTCCATTCAACCCGACCGATAAGCGAACAGCTTTGACATACATTCACAGTGAAGGGAAAATGCACCGTGTAAGCAAAGGTGCACCTGAGCAGGTATGATATTAGCTTCAGTTTCGCTATCCTTTTTGTTCCAAATTCTAATGCTAATCATAATAATTAATTCTGTTGTTTTGCTGCTAGATTTTGAATCTTGCAAGCAATAAAGCCGAGATAAATCCTTTTTGTTCCAAATTCTAATGCTACTCATAATAATTAATTATGTTGTTTTGCTGCTAGATTTTGAATCTTGCAAGCAATAAAGCCGAGATAGAACGTAGAGTTCATGCTATAATTGACAAGTTTGCAGAGCGAGGATTACGATCCCTTGCAGTAGCTTACCAGGTAATAATACAGTTCTCATTTCAAGTAATGGGTTATATTGCAAAATATATTGACTGATAAAGAATTTGTGTTCTTGTTAACATGGACTTCCGCAGGAAGTTCCAGAAGGTAGGAAGGAGAGCCCAGGAGGGCCTTGGCTATTTGTTGGCGTCATGCCTCTATTTGATCCACCTAGACATGATAGCGCAGAGACAATTCGAAGGGCGTTAAATCTCGGAGTAAGTGTTAAAATGATCACAGGTATGTTCCCCATAAGTGTCAACCAAAGAAAGTGATATTGAGAGGGTGATGGCATTTCCCATAAGTGTAATCTGTTGTCTGCTTGACCATTTTCGATGTCCATTAGGTGATCAACTAGCAATAGCGAAGGAGACAGGACGCCGCCTGGGAATGGGAACCAACATGTATCCTTCCTCCGCTTTATTAGGACAACAGAAGGATGAGTCCATCGCTACTTTGCCAGTTGATGAGCTGATCGAAAAGGCTGATGGATTTGCAGGAGTTTTTCCTGGTACTATAATAGAATAAAAGCCTATTAGCTTAACTTGCAGTGGTATATGACATTTTTGAGGATGTACTGATATATGCATATACTTGTACCCTTTTCGAGGGATATTTCGTGCACATGCTTTTTAAGTTTTTTCGGGGTTGATTTGACTGGCCTTGTTGTGTTGCAGAGCACAAATACGAAATTGTGAAACGACTGCAAGCCAGAAAGCATATATGTGGAATGACTGGTGATGGGGTGAATGATGCTCCTGCTCTTAAAAAGGCTGATATCGGAATAGCTGTTGCTGATGCAACTGATGCAGCTCGTAGTGCTTCTGATATTGTCTTGACAGAACCTGGCTTGAGTGTTATCATAAGTGCCGTACTAACAAGCCGTGCAATATTCCAGAGAATGAAAAATTACACAGTTGAGTAAATTCTTATAAAACAATCTCTTAAAATGTTTATTATTTAGTACTTTACCACTCATGTTAATGTTTTATTCCTTGTTGCAGATTTACGCTGTTTCTATTACAATTCGTATTGTGGTAAGTTATCTGGTTTGGTTTTGTGATGGGATAT